CATGAAACACGAAGTCCTTGTTGAGGCCTTCAGAATAAAATGCACTAATAGGTGGGTGGTGGCTGACTTGCTCAGATATAAACCTAAATCCTAAATCCTCCCTAGAAACAACAAAGAAAGAGCATTAACACCAAGTATTTTTAATACAAGAGAAAAGAGTTACTTGGTACTTTCAACAATTTGAAGGATTTTCATATTAAATTGAAGGTGAGACTTCTCCTTCTCTACTTCCACGACACATTTACAATTACTGAAACAAAAGATTTTGTACTCTGAACACTTTCTCTTTATATCCCAAACCAGCTTTCCATACCCAGAGAGGCATCTGAAGAAGTTCCACTGAAATAACTCTTGAAAATACTAAAAGTCTTTGAGCAACAGGAAAAGATCTGACTGAAAATTCTCTTCTCCACTCAGACATATCACCCATGTATTGAGGCAAGCTGGAAATCCTTCAGACTAATTCCTCTATCTGAGAAGATCAACAAAACTATATTTATACTAATTAATAGTGTCTGGTCAGGAAATGTCTTTGGAAGAAGAACAGATCAATTTTTCTCTAATTCAGAGAATACTCTGCCTAAACCTAGAAATAAAATTATTAGCTCTTATAACAGCTTCTCAAGGACTTTAAGATAGTTTGAAGAAAAGAATTTTAGCTATACACAGAAATATATTTTAGTAGATTTGTATTTATTTCACTAACCAAACTAATCAGAGAATTTGATAAGTCAGGAACACTAACAGCCCCAGCTCCCAGTTTAAAGTAATTATTACCTGGTTAATTCATAGGTTTCTCCTAGCAGTGGGTTAAATGGTTTGCCAGTTCTCTCCCACTGAGAAGCTACAGCAGAAACTGCAAAAGCAGCAACAGCCTGTAAACAAATCAAGAACACACTGTGATGAGAACAGGACATTAAAACTCTAAGTTTAATATATTAATTTGCAGCATTTCATTATTATTCCAGAAAGAAATGGCTTTATATTGCTTTAGGCCAAACCATTTGTAAGCCACAGGATAAGTGATATAGAAGTGGAGAAATAGAAGGACTTATTAAAACCTCATTTTCAACAGAATTAGTTTTCTACAGTAAATTCTGTCAGGTTCTTGAATCACAGCAGCAGGTACAAATGACATTTAGAAGCTCCTTCAGGCTGGGAAGTACAGGTAAGTACTACACAATCACAGACAACACGAGAAACACTTCAGTTACGCTGAAGTGAAGACAGAGCTGTGAGCAGGATCAGTAGAACCTAATGCATCCAGCCCTGACTTCACTATATCCACCTCCTTGCTGTGAGACCAGACAGGTGTGATAGTCTACTCCCAACAACAACCAGTTTTGGAGAACAAAAGAGTGGTAACATTTGTCTCTGTCCCAAAAATTATTGAACCAGTAACTTGAAAAACCATGAGGCCACTCAGCAGATCAATTTAGGGTGACTTGAAGTCAAGATGCATCTTCTTGTGTTTTGATGTGTTGTGTCACAGCTAAAACAACCCTGAAATGAGCTGAGGGTCCTTGGGCATTGTCAGTTGTGGCATTTTCCAGCTCAAGACTTTTGGCTCAAACTCTGTGCACAGCATTGAGTATGAAAGTGTCACAAATATTTGATACAGCCACTGTGAAACAATAAACTTGTCTAGATGACAAATATGAGCATTCTCATGGTAGCCCTAGAGAAAGAACAACACTCAAGTGAGAAAATTGCCTTAAAAATCAAAGTCTGGGAGAGAAAAACTTCTGGACTAATCAGAAGGAGGTAGGTGTTCTTACCTGCATTCTTTCCTGGGGATCTGCATGACTACAAGCCTTATTAATGAGGTATATATGTTCCATGTATTCTGTTATCCGTTGAAGGAAACTCAATGGCTCGTTGAAGACAATGGGCATGGTAATCTTGGACAGCTCCTGGAAAACCAAAGCGTCGGTTCATTTCTCAGACACAGTTAACAACAAGAATTTTGAAAACAAGTTGTGAGTGAGTTTATTTATAGGATTCTTCAAAAGACATTTGGCAAGTCTAGAGCAGATCTCCAAGTGCTGCAGCTGAAGGGGCTGGAAGCACTGCAGAGCCCTACAACCAACCTGAAAGAATCAACAATTTCATAACCTGATCCAGCTAGCCTAATAAATTTAAAAAAAAAAATAAATGTTACCATCTATTCTGTGGTCTACATGAAGCAAAAAAGGTTAAAATTTCCATAGAGAGCAGGAATAATGTACCAAGCAGCTCCACACTGGTACCAAAGTGCCACACACTCCTCTGAAATCTTCACATGCCTATTTGCATAAAATCTCACTATTGTGCTGCAGCAACCACAAATTAGTTTTTGAAAGGCACAGTTACATAAAGAGTAATATTTGAGTTGCTCTAACACATTTTAGTGGCTTTATTTAAGCAACCTGTTCTTTGTCAGAATGTTTCTCCTTTCACACGTGGGTACCAGGCAGACAGAAAGTTCACACAGATTTCCAATTCCTCAGGTCTTTTGCTATATCCAAGCAGATTTGGCTGTTTAATTATAAAGCTGCACCCATGACTGAGCACTAAAACATTCAGGTACGTGCTCAAAACTTAGTGGAAAGGACAATGCCACCAGCTGAAGTTAATGCAACATTTTCCTCACCTTGGCACAGGCAGTGAGGGAAATACAATGTTCACCCTAACTGGCTTAAACTGATTTGGTCCAAGCAAAATATTCTAGTAGATAGGTCACTCAACCCACCAAAAAGGAGTTGTGACAGGACAGCTGTATCTCCCAAATGGCATGGATTAATAAAACAGAGCCCCAAACCACATTCTGCCAAGTAAAAAATGCAGATAAGAGAGCATTGTGTTAATCAAACCATATCTGACTATGTTTTTAATGGCTCTGGTCTAGTCCCTAAAGGAATCAATGCCAATCCACATGTTCCAACAGGCAACGAAGCTAAGGAAATAGTACTGTTAATACATAAATGTTGAGATTTAGAGCTGCAGTTTATAATTATGTTCCCTATCCAAAAAAAAGGGCAAAAAGCATGAGGTATCATTCTGAGACTTAGTAACTAAGCAGTAAAATTAACCACTTGGTGTTAGGAGATCCAAGATCAGCACATTTCATCCAAGCTAACTTACCAGTCCAATGCATTTTTTTAATATGCTCCACACACTAAAATCACTTCTAGAGAACATTGGGGCAGGTAATGATGTCCTGAAATGGAAAAAAAAAACAAACAACTGCCATTATCAGCTCCTTAAACAAACCATTTTCATGGTGTGTAAAGGAAGTAAAGCATTACTCTAGGCTTGGCACGGGAAACAGACACCTGAAATGTGTTTTCAGTTCCAGAGAACTGAGCTCTTTAGTGAGAGCAGGAACACCCCAAGAGATAATGAGGCACCACTTCTCCTCCACTGTGCAGCACCACACACTTACCTGTGTCTCTTGATGCCATTTTCTTGGATCTCTGTCTCCCCGTTATGCTTTCCAGTCTTATTGCTTTGGTGTGGATCTAGATCAAGCATCTCTGCAACTTTATGATTTGCTTCTGAAAAGTCTCCTGAAGAATTGTCAGAATCAAAGCCTGTACAAAAACCATAAGGCAACAGTTTTCTTAAGAACCTTCTCATGCCAAAGTGCCACTCTCCGTTTGCAAGTCTCACACCTTAAATACACTTATACCAGGTGAATACAAGAGTAAAACCCCTTTACTAAGTGACCCCATTTCCCAGAGCATTAGGAGCCAAGTATTGCATTAGAATCAAGAATTCTCAGCTAATTTTATCACCCTGCTGAATACAAAAGCAATTTAGAATCTTAACAGTTCTTGAGTAGCTCCTAAGCAGATTACAATGACAATAATTTTGTTCAGTTATATAGTTTTCCTCAAAGACCTTAAAAATAATTTAACTTATACTGCTAACAGGCAAGGAGAAGTATCCAAGTATCAGCTGGACTAAATCAACAATGCAAGATTTCAGTCTAATTATTTTATTTTTTGGTCACACTACCTACACAGACGTTTAGAATATCAACGATTTTTGCACAGGTCTTTAAATAAGGAAATTTTAAAAGCATTTTATGCACCTAGACACACACACAGCCACTATCAACAGCCTCTCCTCAATGCTGCTGCACACACTGACTGCAGCAACAAAACACTTGAGGAGAACTAAGGATCAGTTAGTTGCAGCATCAACACGGGGCACCCTAAAATGATGAATTACTACCAATCCTTCACAACTGCCACAGTATTGCACCAGGAAACACTGCTGATCATTCACTGTAATAAAGGAATATTTTTGTTGAAATTAATTCTAGGAGCACCAAGTCCTTTCTGAGTGCCAGAAGGGTCAATTCTTCCTTGAGAAACAGATGAAGACTTTTGTTTCCAGCTTCCAATGTACGAGACAGGATCAAAAACCAACTTAAACATATGTGTATTTTCTGGCATACAGTTCTTGCCATGCTTTTAAGAAATACATAACATAATTTTTAATTTCCTTTCATTCCAGCTATCACAAGCTGAGCAGCCACTTGTCTATGTGCTGAGTTACCATCACACTCAGTACAGCCTATGCCAGAGCCCAGCTGTGAGTACAGAAAGATTCCAAAACATTCCAAAGCATGTGAACACTCTCATGGAGTAAATAAATCCATTCTGACAAAGATAATTTCAATTTTAAATAAAATGTTGTGATCCTCTGTCATTAACCTTTTTAATAAGCAGTACTTCTGTGCTAACCTCTCCAACTTTTGTTTTAGTGAATCAGAGCAATTCATGCAGGGCACATAGACAGAAAAAGCTGGGGTTTTTTTTCAGGGATCAATACCATGACAATAACATTGAAAACTGTACCAGGAAGTACCACTGATATGATCTTCTTTGGTAAACAGCAGGTGTAATGTGTGATGTCATGTCTTACCCTGTCTCCTACATTCTGATGTCACAAGAATGTAATTACACAGCAACAACCACACCTTGGCAGACTTAGCACTCAACTGCAAAGTATGATAGTCACATATAGATTCAGGTCATTAAAATGAAGACTATCCTGAAACACCTGTCTTAAAACATACATCTCTGTCTTCATTGAACTCACAACAAAATATTTACCATTTTCAAATCGTTTTTCTAACTATATATGAGCTTTTTTTGAACCTGTTACAGCACAAGGAGATGGAAAATGCATATGCTGTAGAGAACAGCAAAATCATTTTTATTAGTTTGACTGATAAAGTTAGAAAAAAGTATGAGGTTTCTGGTGCATGTGCCCTCACCCAGAACACTGACCAAGCTCACACATTGTAAGGAACAGCATCACATTTCATGGAAGTTTCAATTAGACAAACACACCTAAACACAGACGTAAACAGTAACATAAAAGTAAACAACAGGAATACTCCACTGGCTTATAGAGGAATAGTTATGAAAACTAACTGGAATTTCTGTCTTTACATTCTACCTAAATCCCTGCAAACCCTGCCAAATCTTCACTGTGTTATCCACACTAGTTTTTCTGTTGCTCCATGATTCCAAATTGTTTTGCCCTGTTCCTCCTGTACAGCACAATGGGGATTTAGATTCATGTATTTATTATTTATGGACAACAATATGTCATTGGTAAGCAAATAAATGGCAATTCAAACAAGTGTCTTGCAGAGAAACAAGAAAAATCAAAGCTGTGCTCTAGAAAAGTAAGATGCACCAGAAGTGTAAGTCTGCTTTATTAGAGAGCACCTCCACCTAATTACTTCAAAAAAACCAAAACCACTAGGGTACACAGACAGATAATCACTAGACTTTCAACTACACTTTCAACCTTAAGCATCACATGACTTGTCTACTACAAGCCCATTGAGAAAGTTTCAAAAGCTGCTTCTCAGTGAAGTTCCAAGGGGTTTAGTTTTGTCAAGAACTACCCAGAGAATGTTCTTCACAGAGGAAGCAGACCTGGAATAAAACCAGTTTACTGAAACGATTTGTTGCAGTTTTCCTAAGTTACAAAAAGAGCCTTATACCAGCTGCCATTAAAGCCTTGAATTTGAGACACTGAGTAGGTAAGAGTTACTTATAGGACAGTTTTCACACTGAAAAGCCACTGGGAGTGAGGATAGATAAAGGTATTTAAAAGGGGAATAGGAGACCACGCACAAAAATACATTGTAAAAAATTAATCACAAGTCCCAACTTATGGGTTTTAAGGGTGAAACAAAAGCTTTAAAAAAGTCTTACATGTTCAAAGTCAAACACTTCAGTCGGGCACCAACATTAGAATCACAGACTCATTAAGGTTGGAAGAGACCTCTAAAAACGAGACCAACCATAAACCTGTCCCATTAATCTAGTTCAAGAGCTTAAAGAAAAGTGACTTGCCAGTAACTCTAGTTCTCCTAGTCTTCCTCTTCCACATCTTGCAAATGAAACAAGTCCACTCAGACTACACTACACCTCAGCCTGAGAGGCAGCAGAGGCTCCTTGTTCTCTGAGTCATGTAGGGAGACACGAGACCTCCCCTTCGTCAGTCAGCAACTTCCCTCGGCACTAATTAAGCCTTGTCAGTCTAGGCAGAAAGGGAATCAAAACAGCACAGTCCTGAGAGCTTTCAGCCCTCCAAAGGGCATGAGGAATAGGGATAAATATGCTGAAGTGTAGACAGCAAGTGAAGCAAGAGATATTTTTTCCTTTGCCAGAAATCACCGTTCTCCACTTGCCGAAACAAGTGCATCTTCACAAGGTGCAGCTGATGGGAGGCAGGTTAGCATTTCACAACATCTGCAACACTTAAACCTTACAGCAGAATCCACTGACTCAGTCTGATCCAGACTGAGTTATGAAAACAGATCAGTTTGGCAGCAGATACCTCACTTCCTCCTCCCCACGTGGGAGCAGGAGGCCACACTGAACCACATCCTCACAAATACACCACCCCGGATTAACCAGACGAGCCTCGAGGGCACAGAACAGACTTCCATGGAACTGCAGGCTAGTATTCAAAAAAGCAAAATTAAACTATTCATGTTCTCAAAAATAAATTACCCTGGTGACTAGCCAAGCATTTTTCTGTTCTGTGGCAATGCTTTCACAAAACACTTTGGAATTAGGTATCTGACAGAGCAGACCCTGATGGCACAGAGTCTTTATTAAGTCTGAATTGAGATTAACACCCCTGAGGTGACACAGATCACAGACCTATGCTCCCTGTCTCACATAAAATCTGAAACACGTGAAAGACTGATCCAGTCTCAGAGAAGACCAACACCAGTAGTTGAGAAAAAGCAGATTCTTGACAACTGTGCTGTCTAGAATTAACTGAGACCACAGGTAACATTCCCAAGAGATTCCCAAGGGGAGTACTCATTCATGAGGTCAGGATGACAGGTGTCAGCAATGCTAACAACCTCTGAATGCAAAGAAACCTCTCTCCATGGAAACTGTGTACTGGTCACTCACTCAATTGATCACCTGTATACCCCAGTCCCTGCTGCACCTTCAGGAGTGTAATCATCATCCAGTCAGGGACAAACCATCTGCCAGGAGGATGATTCTCAACCACATAGCATGAGTATGTCTTTTGGATGTGATGGGGACAGTGTCAGAAGCAGGAAACCTCCTAGCCAAGGAGTTGAAATCCACCACAACAAAACCCAGGGGTCTCCTTAGGATGGATTCACATTCTAGAAGTGGATGTCATCAATTAATAACTACAGGAAAGCTGTGGCTTCCTGAAGGAGTGAGCCCAGAGTATGTTAAAGGAGGCAGCAAACTACCTGGTCTGCTGCTGAGACTGCTGCAGAACTCCAAACAGCAACTCCCCACAGGCTCCAAGCCTGGTTTGCTACTTACCAGGACACAAACCACAACACCCAATTACTAAAATCAGTGAACTCGTGGGAACACTTTCCAGCTCCCTGTGGGGAAACCAGGGCTTGGCAGGAGCAAGAGAAGAGTATGGTGTGCACATTGTTTTCATGTCAATACAGAGCTAAGACACAGCTGGAGAACGTGCTGGTTCCTGGCAGCCACATCCCAATCCTAGACTTGGAGCAAAACAAGCTCATGTCTATAGGTGGCTTCTGCCCATCTACTGATCTGACCTAAAAGAAGAATATCCCTGGAAAGAACAGACTGAGGAGTCTGCCAAGGGCATTTCATTATTGAATCAAAATTTGGAACCCCAAATCCTGCAGTTTTCACTGTGGAACCTGGAAGCTCACACCTTGGCTCAGAATGGACCTCAGCTGTGGACTCAGTCTCCTAGGTCCATACCTACCATGTCCAGACCATTAAAAAACTGTCAGGCAGGCATGATCAGGACCCATTAAAGCCTGAAATAGGCAACAAAGCACTACCTGAAAGACACACGGTGTTAGCAGCAGCAAAGAGTTGCTACAGGCATTGGCAGCTGGGGAACACGAATGCAGAAACACCTATTTACAGTTGTTCTTTGTGTCACACTTATTTATGACTTGGACAAGACACAGCTACAAAGAAGTAGGTCTGACTTCACTAGGTTTGTACAATCATTCATCAAACTGTCAGCATCTTCTGAAGTATCCAGCTGGAGAAAGGGACTGAGCACCTGTCTTTAAAGAGAGACAGTCCCAAGGCAGAACGAATCTGAAGCAAACTATTCCAAACTTAGCACTCCTCTTAAGCCAAGTTTCTCTGGGGCACACTCCAGGGCAACACACAGAACATATAGATATATCTAAATTTATCTCTTGCCAGCACGTTCCTCCCTGTGGAAGAATAAGATTAGGATGGGACAAGGTGTTCTCACAGAACTGATGCACAACATCCCACTCCTGAGCAGGGTCAACCAAGACTGCAGGTACAAGAACATCTCAGGCACAATAGCTCAGAGGTGAATACCACCTGGAGCACTTGCAGGTGAAATCAACCCTTTGAGGGTGAGGGGAGAAAGAGGAAAGAGGACAAAACCAGAGTGTTCAAATGCAGATGAGTCAAACACTGAGAGCTGTGTACTTTGCAGCAAGAGACAAAGGAGTGCGTGAAGCCTCAAAGCTCTACAACACAGACCTCATGCTTAGAGACATTTCTGCACACCTTTCTCAGTGAAAAAAAATCTAGTTCGTTTATGGCAGTGGTCCTGAGCTCTTGGATTTGAAAGATTACTAAAGACATACAAGAACAATCCATTGTGTTTTCAAGATTTTAGTGGTACAATGGTTTGATTTTACAGCTGAATTTGGAGTACTAACCCCTACCACTCCTAGCTGGAAAGAATGCAAACCACATTTCCTTCTCTTCTCCATGACATACTTGTGACAAGTCCTATACAGTGCACTGTCACTCACACTGCTTCACCCAACCCCCTCTGTTTACTCCTCATATGTATTTCCAACCAACCATGTCTAAGTCTATCTTACCCACTCGTACCTACCATGCTACTTCCATTCCTTCAGCTTTCACACTTCCCATTCCTTTCTGTTCATTCCTGTGACTCTACATTAACCCCTCTACCCTCAGCATTTCTCATTTCACCTTTGCCACAGCATTTCTCAAGAGCCATTTCAGTGGAAGACTTTGAAATTGTTTGAGAGGATTTCCTTTTTTTATCAAAATACTTCAAGCATTTTATTTCACCATTAAAACCATCTAAGGCTGTTACAAATAACTCTTCATCCTTATTAGTTCAAAGCAAAGTACTATTTGATACACTGCTCAAGTGTGAAGTGATTCATGTTTGGTTTTTTAGAAAAAAAAAGATGGGATTGCAGAGACTTTTGGCTCCCTATCTTGAAAGCATTCTTTTAAGGTAATTTGTTTCTGACTAGAAAAACATTTTCTACTTCAATTCTTCAGCACAAGTTTTCCATTAAAATAAAAAGAATGAATAAAATAACAGTCAAAACAACCCACAGGAAATATTTCACCTTTCAAAGAGTCTTAAAAGCATTACTTCTCAAGCTGCTAGTAAATTACCTGCTTTTCTCAGAAAATGAAAGCAAGACCTGGCCACTAAAGGACTGTTAGAGTGATAAAATGATAGAGTTAAGTTTTAATAAAAAACCCCTTCATTTCCAAGCCTGGGCCATGAGTTATCATTTTCCCCTTCTACTTTTTTCAACAAGTTTTACCAGGAGAAATTTACTTTAGATTTATTATTAACAGCAATAGTCACTCACCACACACACAATGGAATTTACAGGGGTTTTTTTTTACCCCTTGGCACTGTGCCCATCACTCACCCGTAACGGCATCATAAAACTCTTCTTCACTGTTCATCCTTCAGTGTGAAATCTCTGTGCAGCCAATTCAGCTTCCTCTAATGCATCGTTGAACTTGAGTTAGAGATTAAGTATCTGTGTGCTGTCAGGGTCTTCCTCTGCAAATGCACAGCTGCTTGAGATGATCTGTTTGACAAGACAGGGAAACAGAATTAGCAACTTCCACATTTCCTACCTGTACAAACATGTACACTTGACAAATACTAATTTACCTATCTCTTCCCATGGTAAAAAAAAGATGCATTCATAAGTCAACAGCTTTCTTTGATACCAAAGTCATTTTGAAGATGAATACTGCCTGCCACAAGAGCAGTTGACTTACACACTTTCTCTCTATAAATACTTCATATACATTACTGTAAAACATATCTTATTTGCTGCAAGTTAAATTTCAGGCAAGTGCAGCTAGAAGGAGCAGAGAACTGACAGGAGAAAAAGACAGCTGGCAAACCAAAAATTCTCTTCAGCAAGAAGATAAGCCTTGCTGCATCCCTAACCAGGAAAGCTGGGAACAAGAAAGAAAACCTTTGTATTTCCACTGCATAAAAATGTTGGGCCTCATCATGCAATCAGTATCTAGTGACCCTTGGAGAAGTTTTGCCAGGCTACTGCCATCAACTCTTGAAGAGACAACTAGAGATTTTTTCCTCTAGGAAAAATATAAAGAACCAACACCCTTTTTCTCAGCAGAACCAAGCACACTGCAAATAACTTAGAGATTTATGAAGCATTCCAGCTTTATTTTATGGATAGACTAAATCAGATCTTTTCCAGATGGTTGGCAATGGTAGAATATAAACATTTTTACTTTACCCAGTTTTAGTTTAAGGAGAAGAATGAGAAAATTTAGTTTCCACTCTCACAAATGTTCACCAGGTACCAACGAGGAGCCAAGCACACAATGATAATGGCAATGCTATCGATATCTCCTCCAAAACAACCTCAATCTGTCAGTCTCAATTTTTTATGACCCTTGAAGATTCCACTGCTTTTGTGACAGCAGTTTCTCCAGAGTAATTATAACTTGCACAGTTCCATTCCAATTAAGAGAAACAAAGCCAGAAGTGCACTCTGCTCCTAGTAGAAGAGTTTACCATGGTTGAAACCAATTCCTTCTTTTTCTCTGTAAGAAATAAACTGTGTTTCGAGTCTTTTTCCCCCCTCACTGCCCAGAACAAAAGCTGTTTGAATCTCTCACACACATACAGTTCTGCCAATTCTCCATTCAGAAGGAGAAGCTGAAATAGCCTATTTTGGAACTCATCTAAGCTAATGAACATAGTGTTTGCCTGGAAGTTTGTGTCTGTCAAGGCCAGGTACTACAGTTTGTCACTTTTCCCTTAGGAACTTCCCATTTCCTTGCAGCTACAGCATTTGATATCAATCTCTGCATCATGGCAAGTATCTGAGTTTCCACAAAATCTTATTTGCAAGCCCTCACCTGCACAAGGGCAAAACCTTATACAGCTGCTTCTCTTGACTGCTGCCACAGTGCTGTTGCAATTGCTCTCAGCTGGATGATAGTTTCCTTCCTTTTTTCCTGTGCTGTAATCCAGTCAAAGGCATTTAAACCTTCTTTTTTTTTTGCTCATCAGCAGAAAGTTTCTGACTTCTTGAGTCAAAGCTCTGCATTCTCCTAAGCAACGAGGCAACAGCTCAGAAAATTAAGGCAGAGACATGTCTGTCTGAAGACTTCCAGTTCAAGGCCAGCAGCAAGTGCTTGCTTGCAGCAGGGAAAGGAGCAGCAGCTCAGATTTCTGGGTGAACTAAAGATCAGATCTGATATCATTGTTCTAAATCTGTACTGTAAGTACAAGTCAGTGTACCTATCCCTGGGTTATCTTGTCTAGTGGAAACCAGTCCTTGACTCAATCAAAAAAATGCTTGTTCATACCAAAGCTGCTGTTAGTCAGAGTTTCTCCAAACTTTTCAGCCCCACCAGCAATATATCCGGAAGTATCTCCTCCAAGGACTCCAAATATGTCATATCTTTGCAGAAAATCTGTCCTTGAGGATACAACTATGTAAACCTTTCAACAAGGGTGGGAAGAAAGAATCCAAAGAAAACTATTGCTAAAGAAAACAAGAACTCAGCATCTCAGGACAAGTGTTCACCCCAGATGCAATTACCACCAGGCTGGAATGACTGCACTAGTTTGCCAAAAAAGAGGTTGCATTAGAGGGCTTCTTTAACCCTCCAAGTGTCCTTGAAGATGCAAGACATGGATGGTTTCAATTGCCTGCAAACATTGCATCCTTCAAGCAAAACAGCATCCAATATTTCCAGAGGGAAACTTGTGTATGCACATGATACAACTCTCTCATTATCCCTAAAATCCCCTTATTTTCTCCATGTTTGCTTACATCTCCCCTTTTTCTGTTTAGTCCCTATTTTTGCTTTAAGCTATTGCAGCAGGAGTAGCCTACTGCTGCACACAGCTGATGTGGTGGGATTCTGTTCTCTGTATCTATCTGCAACCAAGAAAAGGATTAAAAAAGAGCTGGTTCAAAACCCACCCCCATTCAGTTCACATGCAGAGACCACACTTCCTAAAGGTCCCTATCCAAACACACACAGATCAGCTTGCAAGTTCCAGAGATGCTTTGTAACAGCAACTCTCTAGTCTTGCAGAGAAGGCACTAGGAGATAAAAATTATGACTTTGAAAATTGCCAATTATCGTTAAGAGCCTCAGAATAAACAAGGTCATACAGATGAATGCCAGTTTCTCTTCTCTCCCCACTCCTGCAGAGCAATAATTGTATTACAAAAGGACTTGTGAAGTAGAACTGCATCACACAGTACAGTTGCACTGCAGAGACAACGAAGCTTTCCTCTAAAAACACCCACCAAGTACAAATGAAGTAACCAAAGACTCAGGTTAGCTGAAAGCAGAGTTAATCTGTGCTCCCCTGACACCTCACACCACATCTGAAGCTCACTGCAATTTGAAAATGAAAGTTCAGTCATAACCCTCCAAGCCATCTACAATTTGTGACAATTATCTAAAACAACAAAATATTCATCAAAAATCACTTTAAATAACAGTCACAAATTGTCCTAAGGTGCTAGGAGCATTTTTAAATGGATAAAGTAATATATTTTGCTGAGTTACAGTAGGAATAACTTCATGCTTGTATCACTTCTTTTACATTCAGTTCTGTTATACAGCAGAGATTAACATGAATTTGCATGTAGCTGAACACAGTGATAACAGCATTCAGCTCTCATGAGCCAAAAAGCTGGGATTAATTCTTCTTCTCTTACTAAAAGCAACAGCAAAAGTTACTTTCAACCAAGCTGAAATGCCAGAAGACAAAAACATCCTGGTTGCTTCATATTCAGTATTTGTAATCTGTATTTCCTCCTCCATGTCCATGATGTACCCAGAAGAATTCACTTACAGCAGCAACTGCAGTTAACAGCTTTTACCAAAACTGCCATTGGAAGGAGGGTGTGACACCCTTTGTGTCATACAGACCTTCAGGAGCTCTGGAAAATCCTTCATAAAGCATAAACATCACATTTTCTCACCTTTTAATCCTCCAGTGTAGAAGAAATACAAAGTATATTTCAATATTTTCTTACACACATAGTAATCCTCAAAACAGGTTTTCTTCTCTGGCTCCTTGTTGGAGAGAACACTATTTCAACAATTAGGGTTTGCTGGTTTACAGGCTCAAATGATCTTAATGGGCTTCACTTCACCAGGAACAGGGAAAACCTGCAAGCAAAGGCATCTTAAGAGAACTGAAAATTTGTCATTTCATGATGACAACACAGCCCTGGCCACAGGCAGCACAGATTTTGTGTTTACAGGATGAGCAGCAAAAGCTTATCTATTTCCTCATATTTTAAGGGTAAGGATTGGTACAAACTAATTAGATTTATCGTGGGATTTTCGTGCATGAATAAAAACTGCCACATGTATTTTTGCAGCAGATTGACTTCCCCACAGGAGTGATGCTATTTTTGAAGCTCCAACTGAAAGATACCAGATAAAAACATACCAAAAAAAAGTTAAATACCCATCCCAACAGTACAAGTTTGGTTGGTAAATCTGCACTGCAGCTGTACAACCTAGTAATTCACTCTGACAAATTCTGTCCTAGGTTGTCCAGAATATCCACAGTAAGACTTTACTCTTTGAAATTACCTTTCAAGTGAATGTCAAAGCACAACTAAGCTTAACATAATTTATTGAAGCAAGTCTTGAACAAGACATTTGAGCAGAACCTAGTTTTTCTAGTCATTTTGCCAATGCATAAAACATATAAATCCAAACTAGCAAGAGTTAAGCTAAGCATAGCATGTGAAGCCAAAAACTTGTAAGAGCCTCTGGTATCTTCTAATCAAAGGACAAACACTTTGGTTCCTCTGAAATAAGCTTTGCACCTTGGTGATGCAAAGCCATTCACAAGCAGGTTAAACAAGATATTGTGTTGTCCAATAACACAATTCAGAAATGCAAATACCAATGCTGAAATAAAAATGCCAAGTTTGTCCCAAGCAAGAAACCCCAAAACCTGGACAGGTAAGGGACAGAAATATAACTACTAATAAATATGGGCACAAAGTCTGATTTGGATTTTTGTTACTAAAAGGTCTCATTGGTACTGCAAAACAAGCCAAAAGCAGTTTAACTGAAGGGAGCCTACAAGAAAGGTGGAGAGGGACTTTTTACAGACCATGTAGTGCCACAACAGTGAGGAATGGCTTCAAACTGACAGAGAGTAGGTCTAGATCAGATATTAGGAAACAATTCTTCCCTGTGAGGGTGCTGAGGCACTGGCACAGGTTGCCCAGAGAAGTTGTGGCTGGTCCAAGCCTGGCAGGGGTCAAGGACAGGTTGGATGGGGCTTGGAGCAACCTGGGCTGGTGGAAGGTGTCCTTGCCCATGGCAGAGGGTTGGATGAGATGATCTTTAAGTTCCTTCCAACCAAAACCATTCTGTGATTCTATGACACTCATTAAAACTTCTTCAAACTCTCAGAGTTT